CAGGGTAGGCTGCCCAAAGAAGGAAAGCGAACCTTGGACAACAAAAGCAGGAAAGCCGAAAGTGAACCTTGGACGACAAATGGAGCCAAAGCCCAAAGCAACATTGAAAACAAAAAGCCCATATACACTGGCCAGATCTAGCTAGTAACTATAACCGGTTCACCTTGCTGCCCAAATCAGCCTGTACTAGACCCTCATGGGCCACTTCTACAAGGCTCCCGGCCTCAAGTGTTTCTTTGCCAAAGGCATGCTGCCTGGATCCAGCCTCAGAATGAGACACATAAACGCATTCTGTGCCTTTGATTGCCTATGCTCAACGCTGTCCGGTTGTTCCCCGCAGGCAACTGGGATGTAATTAGCAACAAGAAGGGATAGACTAACCAAACGATTGGCACTTTAAAAGACTGCATCCCAAAGAACATGTATAAATTGCCAGCGAGCATCGGCAATGAGTGAACCTGCAGCGCACCCATTTCTTGAAGATTCTGCAAGAGTTCTTTCGGGGGTTGTTAGCAAACTCCCATAGTCCACATCTCACAGCTGTTGACATTCCCGCTAAACTTTGACCTTGCCCTTCCTTGCCTGCCAGAACATGACGAGGAAGCAAACGAAAGCAGCTGCGAAGTAGCACCTACCCTGCACAGTCATGTTCATGACTCAAAGAGTTGACAAAAAAGGTGCAATTGGACAAACATGGGCAAACCATTGTTCCTCGGCGGCAGCCGTTGAAGGCTAGAGTGAATTTGTCCAGCCTGATATTCCCAAATTACCTGCAGGACACTAGCGTTGCACTGAGTGTGATGAACATGCAGTTGGCTTGAAAAGAACGGACAAAACAATTGGACCAGCCCCTGGTAGTAACAAGGACGCTATTAGGTGGAGGCCATAGCAAGTAGGTTGGAGGCCATCGCTACTACAGTAGCAAGAAGCTACCTTTTCAAAACATCGGCCGCCACCTTGCTGCCAATGCAGGAGCGTGAATGAGCTGAGAGCAAACCCAACAGCATCACCTTGCGACGGGTTGAGATTTGACTCTAGGACTCTAGAACAGCCCAACAATTTTGCAACGTGACTATAAAACAGCAATACAGAAGATACAATACTACAATACAAACACAACATCATATAATGACAGCCAACAATAACTCAATTGCAATTGACAAATTGACCTGGCAAGTTAATTAGTGTATAGGAGAACGCGTTTGGCATAGTTTGTCCGCATTGCAGGCAATGGTGCAGGTAAAGCAGCGGTGTGTTACAGTCCCAGGTGTTCGTCTCAACACCCACCCACTTCGCCGGCAAAAAGCAGATTCAAACGACTGTCTGTCCCATTGCTTCCTGGTGTGTCTTACGAGGATGAACTGTGTAAACGTTCGACTCAAAATGCCCACCTCGTGCAAATTACAATTCCATGGTTCCATACGATGAACCCACAGGCTCGCTTCAAAAAACCAGCCCTTTGCTGGAGCTGCATGTGCCAAAACAACGTTATTTTCCCCGATAGCAAGACAACACCAAAACCATAGCAAAAGTAATGAACGTGACAACTGCGGCGAAATGCTAAACAACCACCAAAGCCTGCGAAGGGCTTTAGTGCTTGCAGGCGAGGGAGGCGCGAAGTCAAAGGGGTTAGGAACAGAACGAGGGGTGTCCGTACTTGCCTACTCCACAGGTAGAATTGATTTCCCCAAGCCCACACCGTCGCGATGTCATGCCTTTTGAGCCACAACGTTTGGGGAACTTGTGGTGTGTGCACTTGGTGAAGCCCTAACCGCGTGACTGTACATGGGCCTGACATGGTGTTACTTTGGAGGTGCCCCTCAAACATTGACTAAAGTATGTGATAAGTGACAAGCATCTGCTTGTCTGCTTGTAGGTTTCGGTGGGGTGCAAGTGGTTCGGGGCGGGGCACCAGTGCTGCACGTGTTCTTGCAATACCTGCAAGCAAATCAACGAAGGTTCAGCTGTGCATGGCGCGCCTTTTTCCGTGGGCAGGATCATGTGCAATGCCCAATGTCTTTTGTAGACAACTGCATATCTTCCCCCCTCCTCTCTCTCTCTCTCTCCCTATCGATCCGCATTGGCTAGGGTTTTTGGCGTTACACGGAGATGACACTGATGGTAAAAGTAGCAGCCCGCCAGTGCATTAGTTACTTGTTTAAAACATACCTGTCACCACACGAGTAATTATATAGAGACATATGAGAGAAGCTTACAAATATGATAACATTATGATACACATGCACCAGGAAGTGAAACAAACACATTCACGTGCAATGCATTTACAAGTAGTCACATCAGCGCAGTGCAAGGGCGAAATTGCAAATCGAATACACGTGCAATGCTTTCAAGTGTCCAACTGTCGAAGGAGGTATCAAGGACTTTCTGTGGAAGCGCATTCACTGCCGAGGGGCGAGAGCAGTTGTGAGGGCCAAAGATGCAATCCTTGGAAATACAGTGATCGAACTGATTCAACAGTCGTTTGTGCATGTTCGTCCCCCCCCGGGCTCGCTCTCTCTCTCTCTCTGCATCACTGGTGATTAAAGAAAATCTCCCACAAACTGCGCAAGGGGCTGCCACCACTGTGTTTCAAGTATTTTTTCCCAGATGCCGCCGGATTCTGTCTGTCATCGGTTTTAACGTTTCAGCATGTGACAATTGCCAAGCAGCTCCTTAGACGAAGCCGTTGTGTACAACCGTGCGAAGCTGACCCACTGCAGCGGTGCCTAAGGTCCCATCAAATGAGAACGAACAAAGGAACACAAGGACGGCGGACCCAGAAACAACAATGATATCGTGGGCTACCAGAGAGAGGAAAAAAAGACGCAACGCTGCTGCTTCACCCCTTCACTACCGTGATTATTGCTCTCACGTTCTCCTTGTGCTGTTGCCTTGACATGGCACCTGCAAGGTTGGGACTCCAAGGGACCGGTGTCTCTCCAATGCTCAACGTCCAAATGACTTCGGATGCAAACGACCAAATTGTGTCCGTTCCAACTTCGAAGACAATCCATTTTGCAGTCGCCAAGACAGGTGACGCTTGTAGCCAGCATGTGCAGCCAAATCAATTGGTCATGTTTGGAGCCAAGCTGCAAGTAATGCCCAAAGCCTGAAGCGGAGCAACACAGGTAACATGAAGACTCGTCAAAGACCTCATCTCTTGAATGCGATCTTGCTCCCATATGCTCTCTTCAAGGAGGAATTGCATTTCCACAATGCTACAATACCATATGCGTGGCTGCCTGACAAGGTACTTATTAAATTACTTATATAAGAAGTTTAAGCAGCAATCTAATTAGGAACCAAATCATTGGTGCGAGCGCTATCTTGCGCCCAGTTACTAGAAGATCAAGTATTGCTAGTAGCGAACAAGTTTCTCCCTTACTTAATTAAGTAGGCGCCTACTTAATAAAGTAAGGGCGGGCTTTAAAAAGGTTCAGGCATGCTATTGGAATCGAGGTGCATGTACCGCCCCATCAGCCGGAGCTCTTCAGCACCTTAGTGTGATGCGCTCAAGCCTTGCAGTTTTGCAATGTTTTGCCCTTCAAGTGCACCAAGAACACCAAAGCCTAGACTCCTAGACGCAAGAGACGCAAAACGAAAATCCGGGTGAAAATCTACATCTACGGAGATCTACGGAGCGCTCCTCCGAAATGACCTGAACTTATCAAGGCACCTGTGAGCCAGTTGGACTGGCTGACCAACAAGTGCTGTGAGTTGTCCAAGGCCAGATGCAAGTAACAACCTGAAAGTGGGAAGTGGCAACAGGCGCAAACTGGAGGTGCTCTCATGCAGTGAACGCACAAACTCAATTTGCAGCAGGTGGCCGCAGCAAACTAGGCTCACAAAGGACATGATCCAAGACACCTTCCGCAACAAACAGTTTGAGACAGCTGGAGGCATCAGAACTTGAGGTGGTTTGGTAGCGATGATGTGGCAGTTTGACTTCCACACCCCTCCTCGCGCATGCGTCGCATCAACTCCATATCTTTGATGCCTTTGGCGAAGAGGCGCAACTTCCAGATCCAAAGCTCACTGAAACAACGCAGTGTTCATTTGCAGAACTCCAGCTGTCTGAGCGAAAAACCCTGATCCCTACTGATCAGGATTGGCAGCACGGAGCATGAGATCAATGAGGCAACCAGGAACCTTGGACGCGAGGTTTGCCGACACTTTGTCTGGGACAGCCTGAGGCAATCTTGCATGCTGAGCAAATTTGCAGCTGAGCAACTCACCTCCGAAAAAGGTAGCTGCAACTACATAAGGCCTGGGGATGCGTGACGCCATGTGAAACAAACCACGCACATTGCGTTGTGGACCTTGGCCAAAAATCCACCGAGTCTCCAAGTTGTCCATTCCCTTGGAAATATGTGATTACTGACGATAGAGGCTGGTCTCCACCTTGGCGAGCGTGCAAAAAGGATCAAAAAGGGACGTGCTGGGCACTGCAGGCACGCCTGTTGCATGAGTCATTGTAAGCACGCGGCACCTTTCTCAGGTTGAGAACCAGAACTATCATCCCTGCTGCCTGCGCAACGCCAACTTTAGCATGCTCTAGTGACTCTAGTCACGCACTGACACCCTGCAGTTTTCCTTTCGCCTCAAAATCTGTACTTCAAACATCTTTAGTGAACAAATAAAAGGATATTAAAGGACGTTTTTCCCCTAACAACTTTTTACTACATACGGTTCATCCAGCCTGCAAGAGTGCAAGAAGCGGCTGCACACATCGCCTGAGCCAACAAACACCCCTGCCGCCTCGGCGGCCCTGTTTCAGCCATGCAATTTCCAAGGAAGCGCTGCTCCAAATTCTCTCCAGCCTGCGTCTTGCCAGCCTTATGCCTAACGCATTTGGCAGCATGCTGGCTTCTAGTGCGCGCCCTACCCTGGAACCAAAATGCACCAGCAACCGCATCTCATAATCAAGGAGCACTGCAACTGGAAAGTGACAACTACGCTAGCTATTTTAATTTTTGGCAGTCACTGTGTGTGCCCCCGGCGGTTTCACATCTCGGTGGATAAGGTCCTTCGAGTGAACGTATGCCAAAGCCTGCAAAGACAAGCTATGTCACATGTTTTCCGAACCAATTCTCTGGTCTGATCTGTCACTCAATGTGATCTGTTGAAAGGCTTCAATCAACCTCTGAGCTTCCAGCGTCAAGAACCTGGCGAAACCTCATTCACAAATTTGTTTCATTCCAATGTCATTTCATAATGTGTGATTGCTGTGGAACCTTGCGATTGCAGCACGCCAAACACTTCGAAATAGTTGCTGGTGGGTAGCACGTTGGCAAGACAATTCAAGCCTTCGGAACCTGCTGAAATCCGACTTTCTCTAAGCTGCAAATGGGGGCAGTTGTCAGTAGACTAGGGTAGACTACCAGGGTGTCGGGGAGTCTGATCCCTGGACAGATTCGTCGAGTGGCAATTTCCAAATCAATGCCTCATCCTTCTGCAGCTCTCCACTGATGATGGCCTGAGAGCTGCATTCAGTTGCATTCTATGCGCAAAACTCTAGACTCTATACACAAACAGACCTTCACAAAACTCTTTCATGAACTTGTTGCAAGAAGTTTTTGGTTGTTTATCTGTCTTTATCCTTTTCAACTTGCAGCTCATTTTTTGCTATCCAATGCCTCTCGCAGCGTCGTTCCGTCGCAAAACTCCATCCTGACATGTCTGGCTCCATGCTGGCTAGTGCTGTGAGATCAAAACTGATCAAACAGTTAGATAGCACAACATCGGCAGAAACCTTCGGCGGACATATTGGAACTGAAGTGCGAACTGCCTGCCTGTTTTCACCGCACTCACACTGATTCGTACATCATTCTGGGTGGGTCAAGGCCAAGGAGCCGTTACTGAGGCAAAGGCTGAATGTACAGAGTTTCCATCATTAAAGTAGAACCTTTCAGCAGTTCTTTGCAATTCTTTGCAGGTAAGGAAGCACAACTTGAGGCGCTTTTCGTGTTGCGCTCCGGCCAGAATGTCTCACGACTTGCAGAACTTGATGCACAAACAAAGTGCTACCCCCCCTTCAGTCAAGTCTCGCTCTTTTGCTCCTGGCTGGGCAAGTCCTTGCTCTCAATGAGGACTTATTGAGTATGGTGACGCGCTGTCATTATTTTGCGACTGCGCCGGGGCAAGTCATCAAACAAAGGAAACACACACACACACATTCACACGGTGCCAGTCGGTCTGTGTTGTCCTTGGTCAAGTTTGGCCAGGTTCGCAAAGAGCGGCCGGCCGCCTCCAGGATGATGTACAGCTGGTCAGAAAAAACTTGTTGAACCAGTTGCTGTCCGGTCGAAAATGTAGAAAGCACCTCCAAGGATACAAGCTAGCAAACTTAGCCCCTTGAGTTTGGTGGCCAGAGTTGCCTGAGGTGCATTTTCTGTTGCGTGCAGTGCTTCCGCCCTTGCATAGCCTTTCTCAAGGCGCCACTTGTAGGGGTCATGATAGAAAAGTCCTCCATGGCTGAAAATGTAGCTAGTCGACTGCTTTGAATAACTTAAAGACGCATGCCGCTTCTCCAGAAGTTGCATTGCCTCGGCAAATCGTGCTTGCAATTGAGCGAACTCGGCATTTGCCTCAGCTTGGCGTCCAGGCAGCCGGTCAGGATGATGGAGCTTTGCCAGCCGGTGATAGCTTGCACGCAAAGCTCCCACATCAGTAGTATTTGCGGGCAGTCCAAACTCCACAAGCAGAGCCTGCAGCCGCTTTGTAGCCGCAGATGTCGCATGGAAGCTCATGGCTGGATGCGTCGCGTACGCCTGAAATCAACATTAACATGAGGCGTTCAAAAGCATGAATGCCTCATAACGGCCTGCACTTTGGCTATGAATTGCCCAATCACAATATATAATAGTCAGTGCTGTTTTGCGTGGTTCTCCAGTTCGCAGTGGCCCTAGAACAGTCACAGTTATCCTCCCCAGCCTCAGCCCATGTAAGAAGGGTACTCAGAAACAAAGGGTTTGAGCATTCGTACCCCTGCGTACAGGTCTCAGGAAGACGAAAGTGGCAGGTCAAAACATGTCAAGAAGCTGCACAAATTTGAACCTTTCCACAGCCGCCTGGTGGAGGTGAAGCACCCCTGGCCTCAGTGGATTTCTGAAATCACTCCCTAATAGATTAACGGCCCTCAGCACATAATAATGCACTGTGTTTAATTTTGGGATGTTTGATGAGGTTCTTCAACACAAGCCTTTTTGAAAGGCACTTGTGTGTTCCGATGGGCTGAGCACGGGGAAGACACCTTTGGTCTTCCTGGTCTGTCTTTTGGAGAGTCTAAGTCTAGGCCAGTCGAAGCATGGCTAGGCAGCTGTGGATCCTTTGCTGCAACCATTGTGCTTGCGGTTCAGGGATCTCACTGATCCAGTCTTTAGGCAGGTTTGAGAAGCCTAGTCTAGCTCCCATCAAGGCGCCAGCGACAGTCGCATTGGAGTCCGCATCGCCTGCTTCCATCGTGATAGCTTGCACTGCTTCTTTGAAGTCATCCGCATGGACAAAGGCCCATAGACCAGCACCGAGGGCCTTGAAGGTGTAGCCAATACCTCCAGAGGCCAGTTCCAAAGATTGCAAACCATCAGCTGCAACACTCACATATCGCAGGAGCTCATCAGCATCTTGACCTTTTAAATGCTTCACTGCTCGGAGGCCAGTTGAGAGTGCAAGTTCGATTCGTTGGTCTAAGGTTGATGTTCCATGTCCTGATAGCACTTGAGATAGAAGCAAAGCGATGCAAACACAGCTGCTCACGCAACGAGGATCTGTGTGTGTGACTGAAGCTGATGTTGCTGCATTGTATTCCACCACCCTCTCATCCCAAAAGCAACCGATGCCCGCTGCCGCACATCGCATGATGGCACCATTTGCAGCAAGCGTGCGGCCAGTCTGCCTCCAAATCACATCGGCAGCAATGTGAGGCGCCATCTCAAACACCGGGTGCTCGAGCACGGAATTCACGGTTTGACCCACACCAAGCCCTGACGTATCACCAAGTTCTGGAAAGCCGGAGTTTCGCCACCGTTTCAAGGCTCTGGCAAAGTCGAGGGGGCTCAAAATCCCGTGGCCAGAAATAATTGCATCCAAGAGTATAATCATCTGGTCAGTGTCATCGGTCCAGTCTCCCTGAATCCAACGTTTTCTGTGCTTGTCCTCGTGCCGTGAAGCTGGGCTTAGTTGTGCGGGGTTTGGGTAGATTCTGGTGGCCTCACATCTCTCCATAAACTCTGTTGACAGGCCTACAGCGTCACCCAAGGCGGCTCCCCAAATCAAGCCATTAATCTTATCCGAGAGCTCCGCAGCAGAGAGGCCAGAGTGAATTCCAGCAACCACCGCAGGCGATTCAACATCACTTGGTGGGAGCATCAACGGGGTGCATGTGTCTGGGAAGGAATAATGACCACTGATGATCACATCTGCGCCCTCAAGGGCAGCCCGTCGAATTGAATCCATGCAAAGCTCCACAAGAGGCTCCTCTTGTGAACCATCAACACTGAAGGTCACTGCTGGACTAAACTCCTTGTATGACAACAATGGAAGCAAGGACTCTAAACGTGTTGTCACACTGGCAGCAGTGGATGACAAGTGGCTGACATCGGCGCGAGCAAGGTAGCTATCATCTGTTCCGTTCCAGAGTGTCACAACTGCTACTTGAAGAATTCTTACTTCTAGCTTGCAGTCGTCAACGGTTGCCAGGAATGTCTCCATTTCTTTGGCCGTGCTGAAATCAGAGACTGGACGCCTCTCGAAACCATCATCGAATACAAGGTCTAAGTCTTCTATGGCATCCGGTGAAATTCCTAGAATATTGGCCACCGATCTGGAGGTGCTTTCTGGGCAAATTCCCGTCATATCAAGGTGGACGGTGTCAGGCTCAAATGGCTCGCCGATGCCGTCGGCGATTGAGATCAACATCTGTCTGCGGCTTGAGTACTGCAACAAGAAATCCCGCAAACTCTGAAGCTCCTCACCCATGACATTTTGCCCATACCCATCCGCCCCAATACCAAAGAATGGGTCCACAGTACTGCCAAAAACTATTCGTGTGTCCTGTGGTATGCTCAACAAACACCTGCGAGCCGCTGCGTGTGCCCAGAACTTCTCCCAAAGAGCTTTCCGAAGCCGAGCTTGCTTCACCTCATCCCAGTCTGCCCGTAGTGGGCCACATGTGCGCCCCAAGTGCTTCGCAATGCCTGGATCCAACTGCGTGCGAATCTTCTCCTGCAAATCTAAATCCAGAAATTTTCCTGCTTGGAGATAGTGCTCTGCAGTAGGCCACCATCGACGCAAGGGTGGCACTCCATCTTGGGTCCAAAAACCACAACCGGTTTCAAAGTTGCAAAGGACTTGAAAACCATCAGCGACCATAATATCCAGCTCTGCTGCCATTTGATGACACAGGGAGGGCGCTCTGACACGGAGCCGGTTGGACCAACCTGATGAGACTATCCTGTTGCGAGCCAGCGCTGCCAAATGTAGCACTAGCATTCGGACTTTGTGCATTCAAACATTCCAACGTATTTAAACAAAAACAACTCGACAATGTTCAACATGCTGTGCTGGAGTGCTGCATGAAGAAAGATGAAGGAACCATGCTCCACGTCTCAGCTCCTGGCCCAGGCCGTTCCTGGATGTGAAAGCCAATCATCTCCTGGGTGGAACTGAGAGGATCGAAGGATGCCGAAGGCCGTCCTTAGGGGACCCTGGAAATCCTGGAAACACGTCTTTGGACGATGCCCTTGCAAGAAACACTTTGCGGATTTCATTCATTTTATGATAGCCCACTATTGTCCACTCCCAGCATCTTGTTTCGGGGAACGAGTGCCCTTTGGATGTGGACGCTCCAACGGAGAACTTGCAAGTACAGCACTCCTTCAAGCCGGGGTTCGGCCACAGCGGAGCAGGTCATGAATGCTTTCAAGATCTCAATAACCCATGACTCAGCATCCAACGTTCTGCGGGGACAGCAGCCTTCCTCATCACCAAGAAACGAAAGTCAAATCAAAATTTGCAAATAATTTTGGTCGTGTGGGCATATACCTAAAATCGCACGAGCATGATCCGCAGTTTCTTGTCTTGTAGTCATCCGCATTTCGTGCATTTATGCATATAGTTTTACATGTCGTAAAGACACACACACACACACGTATGTATATATATATATATCCCCCCATGTGCTCACCTTCCAGTGCTTTTTGATGGTGTGCGCGGTTTTTGCTAAACATGTTTAAGGGCTAGATTTTAGGGCGGGAATTTGTTTGTCTTAGGGGGTGCGATATGCATGTATACTGTATCCTTATGTGTGTGTGTGTGTGTGTGTCACACTCCGTCCCGAGGAGTTTCGCGTTGTTTGATGCAGGGGGATGCCCCACACCTGAAGAGAGGGCATCTAACAAAGAGGCTCTTCAGGTTGTGCTGATATCTGGAAAGGACGCTTTCCAGACGTTCCTGCGCTCAACTTTTGATCAAGCTGTTCCACTCTCGGTTTGTTTGCATGGTGGTTGATCACGATACTTTCCCCTCAAACAGGTTTTCCTTCAGCAGCTTTCTGCCGTTCGTGAGCCGCTTGCCTTTCCGCAGATGTGCGCAAACAGCGTGTTCAACACTTCAAGTGAGCTGAATTTCTCGCCATTCCGTTCCCTCACCATGTTGGCTAAATGGCAGGTGTGTGGAGAAACGGGGTTAGCAAAGATTGCCTATACGAAGTTAGTGCACCAAAAATACTTCCACGAAGTTTTGCGAAGGTTTCTGGAATTTTGTTGCGGTCAGTCTTCCCACTGGCCCATCATTCCACGAAACGTCCACGAATAGCCCCGAGTTCCACGAATGTCCCGCACCACTCTTTCTGTGCACCCTTCTGTTTTCCTCTGACCGATTCCCTGCCCTTAGAAAACTTCTACGGTAAAAATGAAATTAACATATGCGGAGTCGCCGGCCATGACCCTTAAACATACGGACAGAATAGGTATTGTACACTACCTCTGGCCGGCCTCTACATATTTTATTGGCGTAACCACACCAGGAAGTGCAATAGTCCCGTCTCCTCATCAAAATCGCCTCCCTGATGTTCCACACCATTCTTCAACCCTGTTGGATTTTGGATCGACGACTTTACAAAAAACTGATCTATCTGTCTATCTATATGTATATAATCATATAACCGTGTCAATTGCTAAAGGAACTTCATTCTACATGGTCGACTTTGGGCGAGCAAAAAGTTACCCCAAACATCCTTTATCTTTGATACGAGTTTTACTTCTTAATCGGTAGGCGTACTAGCGGCTAGTGGTCCCAAGTCCTAGCAGAAACATCTTGAACAATCAACTTCCTGCCTAAATTTGTTCAGGTCCCCCAACGGCTTGCTGTGAAGCGGTTCTCATTCTTGCATAGAAACGATCCTGGGCCAAGATGATTTCTTGCCTTTTGTTTCTCTTTCTCCCATGGCTGTTCTGGATGTTGGGGTAAGATAATATAAATATATATATATATATTCCGCTTTGTCTCCATGTGTATCCCTTTGTCACCGTTCCCCATGCCTCTTCGGATGTTGAGCTGCGATGATTCTGCATTTGCCCCCCTTTGACTCCCATGGCTCTATATGGCTCTTGTATGCTGGGCCGGGGTGGCCGGGCCGGGCCAGGATGATTTCTGACCCTTTGTCTCCTTTGTCCGTCTTCGTCTCCCATGGCTCTTCTGCATGCTGGGCTGAGGTACTTCTGCTTTGTCTCCTTTTCTAATCCTTTGTCTCCTTTTCCCATCACTGTTCTGTATGCTGAGCTGAGATGATTTTGCCCTGTCTCCCTTAGCAAAGAAATACGATGCAAAAGATTCGCCGGCAAAAAGAAACATCAAGCTTTTGCTGCTGTTTGGGGCGGTGCTAGTGAAATACATAAACATAGCGGCATTGTTCTTGAAGATTGTTGAGAACGAGAATGACTCGAGAATACAGGAGTTCGGCTGCATTTGTGCTTTAGCGGTTGTCTGGGCTTCATGTCAACAACAAGTTGCAAGATACACGAAAATTGTGGGTGCATGGGGGGAGGCAGGTAGTATGTTATTTCTGCATGTAAAAACGATTATACATAATACAACTACATGTGTAATACAAACATATATATCATATATGATATGTATGCACGGCTGGGTCGCTATATGTATAACTACTGTAGAACGGTTCATTGTGAAATGCATTGGAATGCTGGTTCATTGTGAAATGCATTGGAATGCTGACAACAAGGTGAACAGTGACCCACCGCTGAGCTGCTAAGAAACCGGCACAGTCCTCACCTGAGCTGTGAAGCGATGTCCTAAACATCTCCGAACATCCGCAGCTTTGATGATTCATTTTGGCCCGTCACGCGCTTCTTGACTCCACGAGCTTTGGGAGCCTCTGCAAGCTCATCAAAAACGATCAAACACGAAGGACACTTGAAGCTCAATCAGACTCAAACATGCTTAAACGTTGCCGCTTCTGGAGAGATGCCGCGAATTTCATATTGTCCCTGAGCCCCAAACGCCTATGGCACCTGATATCGCACGGCATGTGTTTCGGCTGTGGATCGCTGTTCCCCCTAACGCTGTAGCTTCATGTTTAAATTGACTCTTGTCGGTTGGATCGGCACTGTGATCCAGTGTGAATACCTTTTGGGATGCGTTTGGTATGTTATGGAATGGTGCTGCTTGGTGGACTATCTATACTATCCGTCTCTCTCAACATATCTTCAATATCTCGTGTCCAATGTTACAACTTGTCCGCACAAATCAACAAGTCAAAATAAGCCAATAACTTTGCCAGGATACGCGTAACATCACAGCCCAATCGCATCCGCGCCCAAATGTGTATCCTCTCTTCAGCTGGCGCATGCTGAGTCTCAGGCGCACAGTTTCTTTCTGCTCCTTCTGCTCCGTCTCAATCCAAGCCTACCACAACATACAACAACTATTCTAGCCCCGCTTTACATACTTCTGCGCTCAACGCCATGCAAAACCCTCAGGGGGATCGCTTCTCACCAATTCCATTGAGACTTTATAAATAAGAGCGGTCTTCAAAATGAAAAGTGTTGAGTAGTGTCACGTAGTGTCTGCCAACGGAAGTTTCCTCAAGGTGTCGAGCCGTCTATGGTCTGCATCATCTCTTCGTTTTTGCACCTGGCACACCTCTTTGGCCAAGGCAAGGTGCCCTGACATCTGTCGCATATGTACACTAGCACCACGCGTACGAATTGGATCTGCTTCAGGGACAAACTTACTAAGCAAAAACATGCTTGCTCCTTAAACAGCTCCTGGATACTGTTCTGCTTGAAACCCTAACGTCTGGCATGCAGATCTCAGCTAGCTACAACGAAACGGGTTCAGTACAGGAAACTACTGAGAACTAATGACTACACGTGAGTACTGTACAGAATCTCAGTACCTGAACATTCTGTCATCGATGTAATCGGTTTCAGTATCCGGTTCCGGATTGCCAAGCGATCACTTCCTCCTCGAAGGCGTCAATGACCTTCCGGCTTTCAACTTCGGATTCTGGTGGTGTCTCCGACAGCCAACCTCGGTGATCTTGTTTGAAGACTCTCCCACATCCAGCAAGGACACCTCCCCACAAACACCAAACCTACTCTGACCTGCTATCCAAGACCACCCCTCACAAAAATAGCAAAAAAAAGGTAAACCCGTGCAAATGAAGCTAAATGGATGCTGCAAGCAGCCATGAAAGTTCAAGGGATCACGTTGGCAGCGCACCAAAGGAATACCCTCTGGTGTGGTGACACGTGTAACCTGCAACAATGTCAAAAGCTCCAACACTTTAAAAAGCGCAAGTGCCCATGATGCTCTGGCAGTACACATGGATCCTCTGAGAAAGTCACTTGCGGATGACCCTGGCAGCCAATCTCACACATGTGCTCCGCGAACATTGGCCAGTCAATCCTAGAATGATGCAACAAGAACTTGCTTGGTTCTTGTACAAGCTAGCAATCAGCATGAGAAGGTATTGTTCCATATTCTTCCAAGGCTCTGCCTGTCCCCAAAGACATGGCGCGCGAGGCGGGCATCCTTGGAGCAGGTTGCATAGGAGAGATAGGACAAATTCAAAGCTTCTCCATTGAGCAATTGAGGTAGCAACAACTGCTTCCTGATAGAAGCCAATGCCAACCAGGCGTCCACCAGCGTGAGAAGCCTTGTTTGTCGATCAGGGAATGGACCTCCAGCAATGTCATCAGGCGTGATTGCATGCCGGCCCTTTGCATAGACATTCTGGAAGATCCTGCCAGAGTAAAGAATAGAGGTGGTGTCAAGATTCATGTGTAAGAAGGCGGTTAGCCTGCAATTTGCAAACACGCCTGCCATATCCATTTCCCACACTTCCCAAATAGTCCTCTCCAATTGCTTTCGCTCATCATCATCTATCAGCCTAGGTGATTTCCAGCGGATGCAGTCCTTAGATTCAGATCGCACATTTCCTTTCTAACCTACTAAACTAACATTAATCTGGGAGTAGCACCTTTCTGAAACATGTTAGTTTGCAGGAACAGGCAAGCGTCAAGCTGGTGCCCCCCCAAGCCATGACAACATCTGCGAAATCTCAATGTTCGATGATGCTGGATAAACCCAGGAGAGCAGCAGCCCTAGTGAGATGCCCTCCAAGCTCTGTTGTGCACTTGCGCAAAGCTCCTTCCAAAGTTTGACTCCACGCAACAAGGCAGCCAAAGTCCGGCGATATGTCTGCTGAATTCCGCAGCTTGCTTCCTGCTCCAGCCAGTGAAAGAAGGTCGCCCACTGCAAACGAGGTATGTGCGAAGGCCTTTCACATTTCGTTGCCGGAACGCAGCCATCTTCGTGATAACCATGCTTGTTTGGTTCACTCTCTTTCGGTTGCTCGGACCAAGCCTCTTGGACAAGCTTCACATGACGCCAGTATCGTACTTCGGCGGCTCTGTCCGCCTCAATCGCTTTCAGCCTGAGAAAATGTCGGTAGATTCGCTGCACCTGTTGCACTGAAGCTCGCCCGATCGGCTGCTCAAGCTTTGTCTCTCCAGGCTTTTGACTCACTTTGGCGCCCAAAAGGGCAACATGCAAGCCTGTAGCAATGCGAGAGAGGACTCTCTCTCTGATTGCTGCTACCTTTGGCGAGTCTGTCCTGCTAATGGCTGAGCTAGGTCTTCTGAACACGGGAGTGGCTGGAACAGGTCCAGATTTAGGTCTTTGGCGGGCCGCAGATGACGGCAGTGACGCCGGTGATCTGCATATCTGCTTCTCCAAATTCGGCTGCGTTTGTGCCCGACTGACGCATCTATGTTTCTGTGAATAACGATTTAGAAAAGACAAAAAGCGCGTCTCTGCCGGATCCCGAGCCAGCTTTTTGCGAAGCACAGGCTCAGAATTACATCGCCCCAGCATGGCCCAAAGGACATGGGACACAACGCTGACGGTGTGTTTCCAATTTTGCTCTTTGTGGGGCATCTTGGTTGGCCAGTCATGCCAATTGGCTCACCTATACACTCTGCATTGTGCCCGATCTATGCAGTCTTTATCCTCTTTCAGTGGGGTCAAAATTGCACGGTTGCTATAGAATTCTTGGACGGTGGAGCACCTTGTTGCCAATTTCTCGAAAATGTCGTGAGAAGCCTTGTAGCTGTGCAAACAAGCTGTCAGGAGTCAGCATACATGCTCTCAAACACAGAAGCCTGTGGCTAGGGAAAAAAGGCACATGCAGAAGCAACACACTTCAGTTGCCTGGTAGTAGCGCACGATGTGCATGTGAGTGAGCCTGCGTAGCTGAGCGGCGAAATATAATGAAAGCAATGAGTTCAAACACCGTGAGGTCAAAACATGTAAACAGCTGTAAACATCGCAACGCTGAGAACTCTTGCACAAGCAAACGAAAGTACCAAGTTGAAGTCATTGAGCCAGGGGTGGTAACATGAATGCCGATCTCATGCCCCCAGAAAGCACACATATCACAAATACTCTTGAGCCGATCTCTCTCTCTCTCTCTCTCGCTCGCTCGCTCCCTCCCTCCTCGGGAGCAGCGCACACTCTTGGAGCAAGCGCTCACGCTCTTGGGCGGAGCCTCGTAGCTCCATGCCTCGTAGCTCAAGATGCCCGCGATCTCTCTCATCGCTTTACGTCCCGGCAAGCTTCGCACGCGCACAGGGATCGCAAAGACATCATCATTGTAGATACAGTATACGAACATGTGCAGCCGAATGGAACTTGAAAGTTAGTCAAGAAAGTGAAAACTCCAGATTTACTGAAAACAAAGCATGCACCTGTTTTTCCAATCCGCTTGTAAAGCCCCCTTTGCATTAGCAACATGTCTCCATACATCTTCTACGCAAACCATGTTAAAGACCCCCATGCTGATATCGACTGAGGCCCTGTCGCTTGATGGCGTAGAGCTGACCTTACTGTCAGCTCTCAGCGAATGCCAACGTTTGTGGTTTTGATCCTTTTCTTCTGGATGAAGATAAGGGTAGTAAGCAAGCTAAACAGCAAGCAGGTGCGTGTACCAAATAAAGCGCGGTAAGAGTCGGTAAGAGCACGTAAGAGCTATTGCATCTATTAGCTACATGCACGGAGTCTCGCTGCATGAGATGTTCACAAAGACTGTGACTAAGCCGAAATGATTCCCTCGTGAGAGACTCCGGTCGCTCCGGGAAGCGAGCGATCCACGCGATGTCTGGCCTTGTGCGCCATATCAGCAAGGCATGGTGTGCCGAAACCGACCGAATGCACAACCCGCTCGGACCGCCTTGGTCACAGTACCAAAGCCACCTTTGCCCAACAGCCGAAGCTCCTGGCCAGGACTAAGTAGTTCCGAGGTGTGTCCCCCCTAAGCCCCACCAAACACTACTCACCTTTGGTACCTTGAACCTCCCCCACTTGGGAAGGAGTCGCAGTCATATATGTGGATATATGAATACACATGTCATGAATTTACAGATGCAAGCACACACACACACACACCCAAATTCGACATAGTTCGCCAATTACCAGGTTTGCAACGCCAGCCTCAAAGTCGGCTGCATAGCGGCCGCTAGGTGCTGAACTTGCGACCTCGGGCTGTACAAACTGGATGCGCAACAGTGGAGTGAACCTATCTTCACAGTGTGATGGATCCTTTTGTCCTTGCATGTCCTTGCCTTGATTCACCCTCCTCACTCCTCAACTCAAGCTACAACTTGGTTTCAAACGTTGGCATCGAGAGGCCTCAGTGGGGAAGCCGGGTTCGAGACCACTGCACAGGCACCTTTCAAAAATATGCCCGGGAAACTCTTTGGAACTTTGTGAGCATCACCCTAGTAGCGTCCTTGCTCCGAGTAGTAAGGCCAGGAGCCCCTAGTAGCGTCCTTGCTCCTAGTAGCGATGCCAGGAGCCCCTAGTAGCATCCTTGTGAACATCACCCACAGCAAAATCGCGAACTTTTCGGGATCACACGGTGTTGCTTCGGCTTGGCCGAGCGAACCATGCACTCGCTGTGCTCCTTCTCGGTGAGCAGTTTCCGCTCAAACCGAAGACTGTCGAGACTGCGACCCTATGTCTGCCTATTCAGGTGTTCTTGGCATCTTGTGAGAGAGCTGAGGACGTAGTGCAGTGTATAGTCAGTATAGTTATCAGTTTTGCCGCCAAGGTGCCCTCAACACTGAAAACCTCTGGAATTTTAATGTTCTTGAAAACGTTTGAGCTTCCAAGCGTCCCGTACACCTCTAACATTCTGAAGTTGTTTCTAAATCGCTTTGACATTGTGAAATCGATCTTCAAATTGTTTCCAAAATGGCTATCAATATTTTAAGCTGTTTACACTGCACTGGTGGTGAAGTCGTTCGAGTGTTTATAAAAGCTGTTCACATTGCAAGTCTGTCTACAAGCTTGGTAAATGGCGTATAAATTGTGAATAGGATGGTTAGGATGGTTTATGAACTAGTCGAAGTCTTTATGGGCTTGTGGCCACCTCCATGCTGTCTAGAAATGCCTGCGGGCTGCTTGACATTCATCTAACTTGTTTGGCTTGTTGAGCGGCCTGACCCGCCCTGAACGCCTCTTAGGCTCTGGGGAGGTGTGCCCAAGAAATCGCATTCGTGCTGCATCGGTGAGTTGGAGGATGGAGTGAAGATGACCGCCAAGCTGTTCACCAGCAGTACAAGAGGTCATGGGAATGATTCGCTAGGGAGCTGTGGTTACTACAGTAGCTTGTGGCTTGGCAGCAGCATAGAACCAGTTCCAGTCACTTTACCATGTGTATAATATACTTAGTATACCGTGTATATGTTTTAGTACGGAGTAATTTGGATGGTCATGGCCCATGGCTATAAGCGGCTGTAACAACAAAGCTCACACACTTAACAACAACACTTGCAACAATTATCGGTTCTTAGAACATCTCGAGCAAAACGAGCATGGAACTACCGTAGTTCAAAGAAATATACATGAGCGAATAATTATATGACGAAATCGTTTATTTTAATGAATTATTCGCTCATCAATAAATATATTAGGACTAGTCGTTGACCCACAAAACAATTTTGAATTAAAGTTTTGTGTGTGATCACTAGTAGATAAGGAATTAATGACTTACCATCTATTTTCATTGTAAGAGTCTTCCTAAAGAGCCATGTGCATTCCTTAGAAACATAATAATGTTCAACGACTGTTTACATAACACAGATTGTCAGGTTTATAACATGTGTATAGAAACAGTGACTGAACACATAAAAAGTTCTAAAACAATGCTATACACTTTAAACACATTAAGCATTTTCCAAACAATTCAATCAGGAGCTCACAGCTTAACACAATGTTTAAAGCGATAGATCTCACAGATCTCACAAACAGTTCAAACAATTGCAAAGCGAATTCAATGTTTTGCACGGGTTTCCAAGGTGGTCCAGCACAGTGTGCTTTAAACACATCTAACCTGGAATGAGCTCAGAACCGTGACGGTGACGTTATGACATCAAATCAAATCAAAGGAAACGAGCGGGGCATAAGATAACTCAAATAAGGAGAGGGGTATACTGCAGTGAAATAAATTGGCACCATATGAAACCAAATGGCACCATGGAGAACATTTGCAGGGGCCAGGTCGCTGTTGGGATGACCGACGTGTTTTTCAACCACAAAGCGATTTCGTACCATGAGGTGTTTCACAAGCAATGCTAATGCTGGCAATGTGCGTGCAAGAAATGCCGAGCCTGACAACAATACTTGGAAACTATAACTCAAAAATATAATGATCATGGATGGCCTGGCGCAAGGTGTAGCAGCGCAGCATAACTGCCAACCTACTTTAGGTCTATGATAGCTCCTTCTCAATCCCAAGTCTAAGTTGTGCGTGCATGGTGACTCAAGAACCCCGGACCTCAGAAGCTGATCCTGGGACTTGGAATGTCCAAGTTAGTAAGTGAGGCGCTCAGGTCGCAGTCGGACAGCATCATTCACCTCTTGTCAGTGGCAGCCTGCAGCCACTGACTAGGTGACTAGGTGCCTTGCCAACAGGTCACGCTCGATTACATCAATAGGTTCGCCTCAGTCCACACATCAAATGGTGCCTATGCAGGAATCAAGGTAGCAAAAGCTGTCCGAGGAACAAGTGTGCCAAAAAAGGTGCTCTGCAGCTTGACACAAAAACCATCAGCCAAGGATCCAATTCTTCCCCCTTCTCCTCACGAAGCGAATGGTTAGCAATGGAGAAGCTTGTGGACCACAACTTGTCTTCACTGCACAAGACCAGGTATCCAGAAAAACCTTTTTGGACGTTTCAGGCCAAACTCTCGTACGGCCAACCAAAGACAGCGCCTTAGCGAACCTCAGCTCATGCTGCGCTCGATGACTCGATGAGCGGTTTCCGTTTGCTGCAACAAGTCACTCCAAAAAACATGTGTGGACAGCAGCATGACTCTGACTAACAAACTAATTTGCCGCAAGCTATCCCCACCCGGCCAATTTGCGACTTTTTGTTGAAGCACTGGGTCGGGAACCCAGGGACACTTGTATGCTGTCAGGACTGCCGGCAAAATTGGTGGTCGCAGGGCCCGGTTAGTGCAGGGACACCTCGTGGGAAGACTGGGTGATGCCACTGGTGATGCCCTGCAACAGCAGTCACGATATTCTGTTGACCCCAACTACCCCAATCCCATCCGGGGAATAACAATTCACAAGCCTCTTTAGAGATTGCACACAGGATGAGTAGGGATTATATACATACATTGCACTTTGGCAGCTAGCAAACGATTGCTTCATCATGCGCATAGTCAAAGAAAGTATACAATGCCTATATACCAGGGCTTCAGCAATGTAGGGGCTCACAGGGAAGTGTGTGGCCAAACAAACAAGCCAGATGCTGCAAACCCTGTGGTCCAGCATTCTGTTTTGTAACCTTCAAGATTCCTTGTTGAGGCTTCGGCTGCGTTTACTTATTCGAGGATTGACATTGAGTTTTTGGAATCTAGAATCTAGTTCCTTCCCGAGCGGCTTGATCAAGTCATTTAGCGTAGTGACCTTCAGCGTGTCCTACAATCATGACTGCCATGTGTTGGCAGTGTTCAAGGGCTCGAGCTTGCAATCTACAACCTGAAAGATCAAATAAGTATCAACAACATTTTATATAACTAATAGAAAGGCTGGGACTGCAACCATTACTTACCAATCGACCGCTCCTCAACACCTAACTCCTCCGTCCTGTAGGGAGCTGTTCTCCGCAACACCAAAGCAGTCGCAAAAGCGTTGCATCAACTGGGCCTGCGAGAGTGTGAAAAGCTACAGCGGTGTTTTCACAGCCCTGTTATGGCACCTTGTCTAAAGCCCAAAGATATGACTTGGAAAGTCCATAGTGCCTGAAATTCAGCAAAACGCCATGGAAAAGCTGTGGTTGGCAGCCAGGTGGCACAAAATGTTCGTTGGTGCCCAGTGCCCGGTGCTGAGTCTTTCAGGAGTGCCACCACTGGTCGCTTCTGAGTTTTGTCATCCGAGTTTGTGAAGCAGGGGTGCCCAGTTTGTTTGTGAAGCATCACAGCTGCATCCATTTTGCCACCAAGCCACCCCAAAACAGATCGAAGCGTCCGCTCGTCCAACTTCTTGACATGTGATGGCAGCTTCTGGCCCTGATCCGGTTACAATGTCTTGTGCAGCACATCTGTTGGCATCTCGTGCAGCACGAGGGGCGTTATCCATTGCGAAAACACCTTCGCCATCCCTCATCAGCCTGCACAATTATGCAAGTCGCAAGCCCTACTTAGTCAACAAACACGTATGATGGCGGCGCATGGGTGAATCCTGTACAATGGAATCTGCCATGCCTCATGAAGTCAATAAACCTCAGGCAAAGGTTAGGTTTGATGCACCTGGCACCTGTTGGGCCTCGAATTGTGCCTACCAACGTCCGTGAAAAAAAGAACCACCTCGACATCCCATTGACTCAACCTGTCTGGGCAACTCTTCGAACTCGAGAGTTCCTGAGGCATCTTTGTCAAGCAAGATCCAGGTCTGCTCGAAGGCCTGGACAACTTGACAATCAGATATGTTTGAACGACATATGTGACACTATGTCTATCTATCTATCTATCTATACAATTTCCCTTACTTGTATATGCAAAGAATCTTCTGGTTGTTCAAGGGTGCCCGGTGCTGAGACACAAGTCAACCTAGGCAGCCCGAAAAGTGGCCAATGCCTGAGCTTTCATGCAACCCAATTCCAATACACCAGACAAGATGGAAAGTAGTGGATTGTTCGAACGGATTGAGCAATTGGAATTCAGCATAGGGTCATAAGGATGGAATCTTGGACCCAAATGTGGAGTCCAGAACCTATCTTGATAAGTGCATACGAGACAGGTTTCTCTACAAAGCGTGCTGCACCATATCACTACCAATACTTTCTGCACGGAAATCTGTTGTCAAAACTACTAATTATAGCACAAGTGCCTCCATGCGTTTTTGTCTCTAAAAATTGCAACCATCAAATCATATGCAAATCCATCGGCGGCCTGCCACGTGGAATTGTGCCTCAACTGATTCGCAGAGCGACCCTATGCGCCATGGAATGCAAGGGAAGCAGGATCTGTCACAAGTGACTGCGATCAAGAAACTGCATGATGCTGAGGCATTGCCGAACCTGAGGCTCTCCATGCTCTCGGCTTATCCAAAGAAAGCAAACCTATTTTTTCAAAGGAGGGGTAGGCCGAGAAGCGGGAGGTTGTAGCTAGAGGTAGCTAGTAGCTTAAGTAGCTAGTATGTACAGGACTACCATATATGGACGTAGGATGACGTAGGATAGCTCACGCTTCGTCAAGGAAGCCGCCCCCGCCACCCTAAAGGCGGCGGGAGCTTCCTTGAAGAAGCGCTCGCACTATTCATTTGGCTCCTAGATTTTTAGGGAAGCTTAACTTGGCCCCTCGCCTCGGCCATGTCTAACTGGCCAGAGTTGTCAGCGTCCAAGTGCTCAAAGATCGCCCGAAAACTCCCTGCAGTTCGCCGGCAGGCAAACAACATGGACCTCCCTTAAAAGTCCATAGCACAACAGTCTCAAACTGATACCATCTGATACCGTTATGCCATTTGTCGGTGATGACCTGCGTTCACTCAACCTTACCGCAAACCTTGGACCCTGATTTGTAAAATGGGATGTGATTGTGCAACCACATTGCGGAAGCATTCCCAACCCTTGAATTGATTTAGGGGTTGGGCAGCAAACCCTTCTCCCAGCAATACTTTTTTTTTGTTTTTGTTAATCGCTTGTAGTAAGTACTGCAATTTTCGTTGCACTGGAAGGGGGTTGGTGGGAAGGCGCAGCGCCCCCCCAAGGGTGAGCCAAAGACATGTTATATTCCGGTCGCTTCGCGACGACAACCCCCCCACTATTGGCTCTTGGGGGTCCAAATGTAGTTTCTGGTAATTATTCAAATCACTCTATTTTTCGACCTCCGTAAAACTGTACATTTTTCAGTGGGCCAACTTATGTCCATTTGCAGGCACTGTACATTTTTCTGGAGGACCAAGTTATATCAATTTTGCAGGCATTGTTAGATATAAATTGCCCCCCTGAAAAATATACAATTTCCAAGGGATTGAGAAATAGAGTGATTATGCACAATAAACTATGCGATTGCAATCCGCGGCTGATATGATGCAATAATGAGAAATATATGATTGAAAACATAAACTGTTGAGAGGGGCGAATGTTTGCCCATCATGTTACAAACATTGCAGGATATGCATGTCCATTTCATTTTACCCTTCAGCACCTTCGGCGCGGGCGGATTTTGCTGGGTGTATAAGTGTATATGGTGGGCTGGTCTCCAAAAATTTCAGTTCGTTTCGTGGCGGGCGCGATGCTTGGAAGACGGGCTCGCAGACTTCCAATCGTTCCTTCAAGCACCTCGCAGGCTTTGCGTCCCTGAGTGCGCCATGTGGCTTCAATGGTGTTGATGGCCCATGTTTGTTTTGCAATTTCCAGAAGTTGGCGATTTGGCATGCATCGTGGCCAGCTTCTCGTCTAGTGGTTAGGACGTTGCGTTGTGGCCGCCACACACAAGCCAATTTGTGGTTGCAAAAGTGGGATTAATTTGCAATCCATACGTTGCAAATATTATTGTGACACTTGCAGGCTCCCGCAACAGAGACAGCATTTTTTTCGTAGAACGTGCGAAACACCGCAGGACCACTAGTTGATGCTCATGGCATACGCTTACCACCGGACCAGGGGAACAGGATGAGCAGAACTGGGGACCAGCGGACTAGTTTTTTGAATCCAATTCATTCTTGGTCATGTCCTTTTTCTTTTGATCCAGGTGCCTGTTACGTGACTATGACTATGACAATGGCGATGGGTAGGAGCAGCAGTAGCAGTAGGAGTAGCACTAGCAGTAGCAGTAGCAGTGGCAGTAGTAGCAGCAGCAGTAGTAGCAGTAGTGGTGGCAGTAGCAGTAGCAGTAGCAGTCGTCGTCGTTGTGGTAGTAGTGGTAGTGGTGGTAGTAGTAGGAGTAGGAGGAGGAGTAGTGGTAGTAGTAGGCGTCGGCGTCGGCGTCGGCGTCGTGGTCATAAGGTGTGCACCAGCTTGAGACCAAGGAAGTTGCTATGAAGTTGTTTGCTGGAATATGTGTATCTATATATTTATGAATAACCTTAGAAGGGAGGGGACGAAAGCCAGCCTTCGTAAGAAATCATAAATGTGGTTACAAGTGGAACCCATGCGTTGGGAGAAAGTTGAGTTGAGCAGGACATTTACAGTCCGGGGGGATAAAGGTTGCACTATGTTGCGTTGAACAGGACATTCACAGGTCGGGGGGGCCTTTTTCTTTTGGCTTAGGGGCGTTTTAAGATTAAAAAGGGCACCCCCTAAGGGGTCTTGTAGCTGGATTCATAAACTCGGCGTGCTGCTCAGAGTGGTGTAGTCTAAAGTTTCCTGCCAAGATCGCGTGATTGCGTAACATCGAGCAAAGATTACTATTGTTATAGGGTGATTGCACATGACTCCTACTGCTGTTTTGAGGGTCGATACGATAGGCTCTTTATATATATATATACAGTAAATATAAGAGGTTTTGATCAAGGCCCGCTCACTGTTAGCGGTTGTAGGATAGAAGTGCTCTTCGTGATGCTAATGATGCACCCTTCGGCGTCGATCGCATCACTAGACCCCCCAAACCATACATTTTTACTACTTTCCGCGCCGCCTCTTCTTTTCGCTCTCCCCCACCAGGCTCTGGGTTCTTCCCGGCCGGGCCCACTTTGAAACCACCCCTCCACACCCCCTATACTCATTTCGTTCGTCCATCGACAACTCCAGCCCAGCCTATCGGCTGGCTTTATATATGTAGTACACAGATCATTTACATATGAAACACATATATGCATATGATATATTTTGATAAATACCAATTCGTTGGTACCTGTGCCAGCGAAGCTGTTCCATGATGGGGGCAGCGGACGCTGATCACGTCCGTCGTGTACCTGCTGCCTCAGGTTGGTTACGTATTGAAGTTCGGCAGATGTGCAAATGTGCTAGTTACGTGTGTGAGCTTTAAGCACTTGGCCCCTTTTGACCCTTCTGCAGTTTGGACATTCCCGCGGTTGCACCTCGCTCCTTTAGACAACCTGGTTTGCTCAGGCAGCTGTTTCCCTTAGGCCTTTGAGGGTGAATCGCACTTCCCAATTTTATCAGTGTGTCCCCCCTGTTGTCAATGGCGTGCTTTGCCTGAAGCTTGTTCTTGTTATTTCGCTTGGACTCCTCTACCCTTGTTCTTGTAGTTTGCCGGTGGCCGCTTGGTGAACTGCTTCCGGTGACCAATCGCAGTCTTCCAGCTCCCTCCCCGGTTTCCAATCCAAGACGCCCAACTCAGTCTCCGTGAAGCCACGTGCAAGGGCATACCTGCCATGTTCGGCAAGCACACGCTGGTGCGTCTGAATACTATTCGTCCCTTTTACACTTGTCATGCTTACAACTTACTTATTCGTTCGTTGTGTTGTTCGGCACTACGTCTGATGTAAATATCTGCAGGCAGGTGACTCCACTTCCGAGTCATAACCTTCAAGCAAATCAGATGGAGAATCTAGAGAATTGCCAAACACCTCCAAACTCAAAACAAACTGATTGAAATGCAAATAGAAGGCGTAAGCTGGCAAACTTCTCGTCGATCCGCTGGACGAGTTCCTGCAACGAGAATTGGGGATTGGCTGTTTGGTTTGCAGGCTTGTTGTCCTTAAACTCATCAAAATCGATGACCTCAGATTCCAAGGCAATCGGAAAAACAATATCATTGTAGAATATTCTGGCAGTGTATATATATTAATTATTACATAATGTAATATAACTATATATCAACTATATATAATATATATCTCCAAAAAGTATGGAACATATATAAATAGGTCCTCTTTCAATTCACACCAAATAAGGACACATTCGCGTCAAGTGAGCTTCAATTGAGAAAAGTCACGTTGTTTCCATCAGCATCTACTGATTGGATAAGTTGCTGTACTTCCTCTTGCTCCTTGCCTTGGCTTTGCCAATTTCATTTCAACAAAGGCATCCAGAGGCATTGCAACAAACGTCGACGATTCGCTAAAGCTTGATCATGCTGATCTGTGAAGATCATCACAAGACGCATCAAACCAATTCCAAACCTCTCCAGGGCCAGAGTGGTTGATCATAGTTGATCATTGATCACCTCTTTTCGGTGCCAAAAGTCCGAGACGCGGGTGCGCGGGCAGCATTGAGCTTCCTGAAAGCACCCTCACTTCAATCCCACAGTTCGCCTATGGTGGCCTACGTTTGTAGGAAGATGGATTGCAAGGATATCAGTCCTCAAGGAGAGCGTGGAGTTCTTTCATGTCCAAAACGCCATTGCGATCCTCGCATGAGCTCAAGAATAGAAGACCTTCTCTCATGGATAAAGTGTCTACTGCAAGCATGTTGGCACTGTGTATCACTGTGTGCCTCAAAATGCCTCAAAACCTAGTGACCTAGCAATCAGGGGTGAGTCCCTCCCAACAAGGTTTGATCCTTGGAAAAAGACATGTGCAGCCCCCAAGGCCCTCAAGGTTGCCAATTTGCCGAAGTGGTTCGTGGTGCTTTAACAAGCCCAAAGGGAGCCTTTTTCCGGCCTTGTCCAGGCGCTGGAACCTTTCCATGAGCTCTTCCAGCCGCTGCTCATCGTTGTATTCCCGAACGCATCTGACATGGTCACTGATTCGCGCGACGCATGGCACAAAACATGAGTCAGTAGATGTTCACCAGGGTGATGAATGAACACATATCAACACCAGCAGTGCTTCTTTCTGATTCTGCCTTGGGTAGTTCATGGTTGCCCAGACAGCCATAATAAACAAAAAAAACACAAAACAACACAAGTAGAAGAATACCATGCAGGGTTTGCACCGCACCCGCACCTCAAAAATTCGAGGAACTCCTCGAAGTTCAATTCCGTCTGCATGTAGACGATGTCTTCCGCATCTTCCGGAACTAAAAGGCTCTTGATGTTGTCTCTCTGCCACCCTTCGCGGGGCATCATCCCGAGCTCATAAACCGAAAGGAACGCATCATTGGCTGTAACCACACCGATTGATCCTGCATCACCCGAGAATTTTCGGAAGATCTCATAGACCTGAGCTATGTTGTCTCTACATTGCTCAAAAAGGTCTGGTCTTACCTTCATCTCCGTCAGGATGTCAATCTCACGTTCTCTGAGCTGGCGATTGGTTCGCTCCCTGCAACTCATGACTGCTCGTTCGAAGGAATCAAAGTCAACTAATACGCCAGGTTCTTCTTCAAAGCCTTGCTCTTTCAAAGCATCGATCATATGGAGTTGGTCCATTCTCAAGCATCGCGCAATCTCAATGCATTTATATACGGACACCACCCCAGTGCCTTCCCGGTCAAAATTGCAGAAATATCGCATGATTTTAGTGCTTTGCAACTCAGTCAGTCGCTGACGCACCTTTGGCACCAAAATCCCGACAAAGGTTAAGAAATCAAACTTGGCCTCCGAGGGTGCCATGTCAACACCCGTGTCAAAATCTTCGCTGTCACTCCCTTCGGATCCTGAAGTTTTGTCAGCTGCGCTTGAGGTCAGACTGCTCTTCCTGCTTCCATTGCCACCATTGCCCACATTCTCTGAAGGAATGCTGGTTCTGGTGGAAGTTCTCTTGTTGCTTTCCTTGGCTATACAATGTCAGCGCTCAGGGGCCGAAATCCTTGCTCACTCTTGCCTTCTAAGCATCTGCTGCTACGGTGGAGCTTTGCTGCTGTGGGGCTTGTTTGTCTCCTCATCCGCAGGTCAAAACACCCAATTCAAAAAGACCGAACTCAGGGCCAGTGCAACCCACAAGTTACTATATATATATTGAAACTGAACGTGCTTTGCTGAGTCCTGTCAAGCAATACGGGTTCTGGGCAAGTCTAACAAGCAAGTCTAAACAATGTAAAAATCAATCTTTTCTCTGGGTTGCTTGCCCCAGGCTATTCGGTCTGCGTATAGGCGGAATTGGCTCAGCTTGCTACATGACGCCCCAGCTATCCAAAAATTAGCTCACCAAAAGAATCCCAAAGACAGCTTTGGGCTCTGGAAATGCGTCCGAAGAACTCCAAGTGCTTGGAGGGTGGCCTAAGGAGCGTTTACGAGACTACAGTAGGCGGCATGTATCACTTGTCAGTGTTAAACGACTCATCGGGCGTTAGCCGTTAGAGGGATTGGTCTAAGCCATGTGTTTTTTCTACCTGACTCGAGTCGTGGACGCGTCCTGCCGTCCTGCTCGTTTGGTGACTCCCAGCTTGATGCGTGGCTGGTTCTGCTGGCGGTTCAGCTGGGCAATCAGAACCTGGCGCCAAAATCAATTTAACACACCGCTGATCAGGCCGACAAAGGATCATAAACATTCAAATTCAGATAGACATTTTACAAAACATAAAGGTCTCATGGAATGGACACATAAATGTGAAAACAATGTTCACCTGGCTTAATTGACTGCCACACATCAAGCTACTAGAGTCGCCTCCTGCAAGCTCACGGACTGAATGGAGGTTTGATGCATGCTCTGAACGTGGGCTGCCGTGATGACGTTGCGGCAAACCTGCAAAATCTCCTCAGCCAAGCTTGCAAGTCTATACGTCATTTGTGCGGATCGGGATTGGGCAGTTGGTGTTGTCCCTTTGAAGCCCAAAACAAAGGTGACAGGGACATTTAGGACATTTAGGTAAGAGATGTAGGCACCCTCACTTGGTTGGACTATGCCAACGACAAGTAAAGAAAATGCAAACGCAACAGGTTCGTGGCCATGGCGTTCCTGCACCCGCGTTCGGCAAACATGCTGGTTCCCGATGGCCATCCCAAAGCATCAAGAAACGTGCTGTTCCTGCAACCAAGCAAGCACAATGCCTGCACAGTAGATTGTGCCAAGGCAACAACACGAGATGAAGTGCTAGATTGAACACAGGGATAAGACTTTAAGACATTAAACGACAACAGTGAACTCAGTGAACTCAACATTATATAGTTACATATAACTAATCGATCACAATGAACTAGAAGCCAAACCAAACCGTGTTCACCACCAGGGATTTTTCGGTGATCTCATCAAGCCAGGGGTAAGCACAGCCTATGTCCATGATGTTTATTGGCGCAGCTGACGCCAGTAGCTTTGTTCCTGCAACCCCTTCAGTGCGTTTCAAAAATCCTTTGCGTGCAAAGCTAGGTGGGCTAAGGCCATGGCGGGTCGGGTCGTTTTCCGTGCGCGGCCTCCGCACCTTTCAATGCGTTCACTGTCCTTATCTAGGTAACGGTATTGACGGTTATCTGGCGCCAAAAAGTCTAGTGCGCATGGGGCGTTGCAACGATCATCCGGCAGCAACATGAACTCGAGGTTGAAGAGCGGCACTAGAGAAGCCGGAATCGCAGACTCAGTGTAGCCATCTTGACCCTTGACTCAAAGCAGTTCTGACTGGGCTGCCGACGGCGGTCATGGTTGCCCAGGCCCCCCATCGACTCCACTAGCGACGCACGTTCTTTTGAGCATGGAAAGGTTGAAGTCTTGCCCCTTGACTTTGACTCGGCTACGGCCATCTATTCCGCTGCAGCTAGGGTCCTCTGGGTGCAGGTCTGGGTCGGGGATAAGTAAGTACCAACTGACTGTCCGGATCGAACTGCCATACCGTACCAGAGAACAGATTGTAGTTACGGCTAAGCTTAGCGGCTTAGCGTTGCAGCCGGACTGGGAGTTTGGGAGGTTGTTGAGGGCAGGGAGATTGCAGCGGGCAAGCGAAGATGGCGGAAGGGCTTGAAAGGGCACATGAAGGGCATGATGCCATCTGGTAAGGGCCTCCGAGAGAATTGGACTGAGGCACTCCCTATGCGGTGGGAGTTCACGTGGTCCTCACGAAAGCCTGCCGATAGCCTCGCCCACGACCGTCTCAGAGTCTCTGGTCACTCATTACCAACACGCAGCCGACAAACTCACATAAATCCTTGAGGGTGCCCTTTTTCATCTCAAAAGCACTCTTGAGCCCGGACGATAAAGGGCACCCCCCCTTTTAATCCTACCGCCTGTTTCTACCTCCTATCGCGCACCTACGATGCCAACTTTACCCCATAAACGTATTCTTTACATAATGTTAGCCTATCACTTCATCTTGCACACCTACGTCGCTCCAATATCAACCTCACCACTTCCGGCTACTCTTTGTCCACTCTACCTACATATATATATATATATGTCCTCACCTACCCTACCCTTAGCCTCGCGTGTTCGCTCACTGATTCGCAGGGTGCCCTTTTTCACCTCCAAATCGCCCCTGAACCGGGACGAAACACCCCTCCCTTCTCAGGTATGATGTATACTTTATATAAGTTTTCGTAAGGGTACTGTTTAGGGAGGTGCGTGTTTAGACTATAGGGTGAAGCACCCCCAGCCCGCCAGGAGGCGGGGGGTCTTGAACCTCCTGGCGGCCAGGAGCCGCCCTCCTGGCGGTGGTGGTTGTTCCTTATGTTGCCTCATTCCGCCCAAGCACTGACCACACTGCCATTAGGAGCCTCATTCCCTTGTAGGGACATATGGATTAATTATCGCTCCAGCGAAGGGTTTGTGATCCTTCTGGAAAGTAATCTGTTTGCTTTGTTTTTCCTAGTTGCTGACTGAAGAAAGAAAATTATGAGTGAGAGGGACTGTCGAAGAATCACCCACTTTTTTCCACGACGGTCGCGTTGCGTCCCTCCATTGGCAGCTAATGGTCAAAGCCTCGGTGCAAGCCCCAAGGCCAGGCACTAATATGACTGGCATTGAATGCCATTGAATGGCTGTACCGACATCTGTGACAACTGAATGCAAGGAATCCTTTGCTTGCAAAGTGCAAAATGTTGACTGCCTGCCTACAGACTGCCTGACTGCCTGCCAACATTCTCTTTCGTGGATTTGCAAGAGCTTCTTTTGTTTTCTCCAAATCAGAAAGAAACTGGAAACACACCAAACCACAGGCGCAGAAGAATCGGAGCGTTTTCAGAAAGGGTCGTGCTCAGTGCGCTCAGTGCACACCCATCTATAAAGTGTATATGACAGAACATGTACACTGTACACAAACCAACGCAATCAATTGGAACCATCTTCCGCATGCTTAAACCTAGGATCTAAGATCTCTAAAACAAGAAAACTTGAACTTGATGATAAGTTTCCTTTCGCATGTGCAGCACAACCGGCACGCTCCGAAATCTGTCATCTAACATTGCCGTGGTAGGGGTTTGGCAGTCTCCATGTTCGGTTTTTAGTTTTATTGAATTAGAAGGCACGCCGCAGATGGTCGCAAGGTTTCCACAATCTCAGAGGAGTCAGGGACTCAGCTCAGGTCAGAGGCAAAAACACAATCACCTGAATTGAACCTGACTGAGACGCCATCAACATTGCCCTTCCCTGATCCTGAGTTTGAATCCTAGGCTGTGCACTGTACCCTTGCACCAACCGCTATTAAAGTGAGGGAGTGTGTGTAAGTGTCAGTCACTAAGTCACTAGGTGTGGCCAAGCGCAGAGGCATCACATGCAGCCGCGCAGGGCGATTACTCAGGATGATCATCTAATTGATCGAATTTTCTCACCTCAGATCCTCAGAGGTCACGAATCACGAATGATCACCTCATCAAGTGCTTTGCTGAAGTCAAAGCCTTTTTCTTTTCCTTTTCGATCTTTTTCTGCTCCTTCGTCAGATTGGGGAGGGCCGTTTGAAAGCCGACTCCCTCCATCCGAGCCTTCCTCTCGTCCACAGCTGCAGCAAAACCAAACAGTCTCTGCTCGACTTGCTCATCCGGCATGCGAACACCGTGTTTCTCCGCTTTGGGATTTTGCTTGACCAGTGCAATCTCCTTCTCCGAATGTTCGATAGCCCAAGCAAGAGCAGATTCCTTCAGAACCAACCTGGATTGGCAGCCAGCAGCGTGCCGTGTGAAATCATTTGTTGAAATGTTTTAAGGAAGCGAACTGACAACTGCAAAACTAGATTCAACTCAAATCTATTTCACTACACTTTTAACATTTGACTGAAGTTTAATTGAATGTGATGTGATCCTTGGTCCTTGAACCAAAAAGAACCAAATGAATGAACCCAAAAGCTGACTGCACACGAGATGAGTTTCGTTTTGATCCTCAACTCTGCTTTCGATGTCATCATGTGCTCATATTGCTCTTCAGACTCCGCTATTCCAGCAGGAACCAGATCAAGATTCTTAGTCACTACCTGGATGGATGATGAACGTGGGTGCGACGGGCGGAAAAGTCTGAAACTGTAGACAAGATACAGAAAAGATCAGTGTCGATGTTTGTTTGTTTTGAATATTTTTGAAGGCTTTTTACTAAACTCCCCCAGACCCCGGATTCTTCAATTTGACAACTGCCGCGCAGCAGCAACAACAACAACAACAATGCGACAGCAACAGCAAGACAATTAACAAATGCTGGACCACATCTGCCTGCATGCATCGACGAATCCACAATTGCACCACTAGCGCCACACCAAAACAGGAAACATGGAAACACCAAAGGGCCAAAAGGAATCAGAACTTCAGAACAACACGTCGTCACGTCATGCCCTGAACAATGCTATCGGGACCGGTGAACACAAACAGTGCGACAATATGCATCGTTTCACAGGTATAGGTTGCACAGCTGAAGATTCTCCAAGTCACGACATCCACAATCATAGTCGAATCTCCCATATTCGCATGGTCAGCCTTCGACACACCAGGAACTACCCATGCTGGGTGCACCATCGACGTGGTTGGGCTTGGCTGCGGCGGAGGGTTGCAATAGAACTTCATCCCAAACAAAGTGCAAATGTGGATCGAGTTGTTCGAGACCTTCGTGGTAGACACTGGGCCCAGGAAGGGCAAGTGAAGCGCTCCTTTGCCCACATTTGGTGGAAGGTTAGTCACCCTTGACAAATTGTTGATGCCCTCCTCCTTGCAAGCATCTAGATTGGTCAAGTAAAGTCGACTTGATTGCACCTTCTTGGCGACCTTGGAGATTTTACCCTTGTCACCCGAAGCAATGGCCTCGGACTCCTCCGCAGCATCACCAAAGTTCCATTGAACTGCCTTCTCTGTGAATTTGCGGTCTTCTGCGAACCAGTCCTGACAGGGAAATCTAAAAATTAATGCAGGAGATATATAATATACAATAATGCATCCATTTAAGCGGCATCAGATTAGGTTAGGCCTGTTTAGAAGATGGCATTCCTCAAGTACATCTACCTCATCCGTGACTCAGGGACCACCGTGTACGCTGTGTATGTCAAACGGCTTGCTGATTGAGCTTGGCTGCACATTGAGCGGCAGTAAAAGCACACTAAATTGAACATCAACTCAATCAAGTCTGAATCCCTAAACCACAGTCCCAGAGAAAAAGCTCAATCTTCATCTCAAGCACTTTGATCTCAGTGGAACTGATGTGGTTTGGTTCCTCATCGAACAAATCCGTGTAGGTCTGCGATTGCTCCACCAACTTCATGCCGGACAAGCTCAGCTCACGCAGGCTCATCCGACGGATGATAACTTTCTCTTTGCCGCCTTCCTCCTCTGCATCTTCATCTGCATCATCTGCCGTCGCTGATCGTTTGAGGTCTTCCGCTGCATCCTCTGCGACCTCACTAATCTTCAGCGCGCTGTCACTATGCTGCACAAACCTCCTCAAGAAACTGTACGCGCCCTCCGTGGTCTTGGTTTGTAGCAGGCTGGTCCAATTCCGGGACCAGGTTTCAGAGCCTCAGCCGCGATGGCAACATTGCAACACACAACACAACTAGCCTAGCCTAGCCTCAACTCCCAGTCATAAATTTAACGGTGCGTCATATATCTGTATTTGTTGATGCCGGTACATTTGATATGATGATGATTAATGAAAGTCTGTGCAGTAAATACAGTAATGACTAATGGAGGCTGACAAGCAATTTAAAGGAAAAGTAAAGAACAAACAAGCTGACAAGACAAGCACTGCGTAAGTTGTGAACTGAGCAGCTTTGCAATACATCGAAACCAGGAATCAAAGCAGCGACTTTGTGTGGTGAGTGCTTCTTAGTTGATTCACCTGAATTGGATGTCTGAGCCGGATCCGTGTTTGCCGCGGGGGCCTCTGCCATTGGCACTGGCTTCAACTTCGAGAGGTTTTGGCCGGCACTCGCTTGCATGTCCACGTGAAGTGAAGATACCAGGAATGTCACAGAAACATCAAATTTGGTCTTTTGGATTTGCCCCAGGTTGCGCAGAAGTGTCAATGCATAGAGCGAACGCAAGCTGAGAAAACGCTCCAGAACCTCTTGCTTATCCTGGAAGAGCTTGCCACTCGGCCCGACAAATCCAAGTCGAATGGCGTACAAATCTGAGACATCAGCAGCAACGCTAATCCACGTCTCTGGAATTGCCTCCTTCAAGGAATCATAGATCTTCTGCAGAACTTCTGTCACAGACAACTCATCTGAAATGCTGGGATCAACTGCCAACGTTTGCTTCGCCTAACAGTCACCAGATAACCGGGTAACATTTCTCTAAGAATCAAAGAAGCTTCAACATATAAAAACACCGTATATACAACCTCAACAGAATATATATATATATCACACAACTGCACACACATATATATATATATTATAGATATTGTCTTAACGGTTTTAGATTGTTTCATATTTGTTTGCGCACATGGTTATATACAGCTATTCCTTCCTTAACCTTGAGTTAGTTAACACTGCACTGCAAACAAAACATTTTGCTAAGCAGAGCCAGGGATACTTGAGTGAAAGCTGCATGATATTCAATAGGTAGGCACAAGACATCTTTGATGAAGCCATCCATTCCACTTCTGATGGCGGCAGGGATTGTGATTTTCAACCTGTCGATGGCCTTCACTTCATCCGTTTCATCCTTCAAATGGCCCACATGCACTCCGGAGCAGGGAGTTGAATCTATCAGATGACTAAAGTCGGCTGCCAAGGTCATGCGCGAACCACCTGATGCCGCACTAGCAGCCGCTAGTTCACACGCTGTTGAGATGAAGGTTGTCAATTCGGTTCGGAATGCTGAATAGGTTCTCACGAACTTGCCATTGATCGCCACATTCCCTGTCCAGACAAACTCGAAAAAGTAGGATACTCCATGCCCAAACAAGTTCAGTGTTGAGTCGTTGAATGTGCTCTGCGACCTCCCAGCGTGCTCGTCGGATTCACGCACCGCGTTGGAAAGCTTCTTCTCGAATGCTGTCTTCACTTCCAAAAAGCAGTGCGTGAAGTCATCTAGGGCAGTCTTAGGCCGAGCCAACTCTGGTGTTGGAGCAGAACCGGTTTCCACTAGGGGAAATGCAAGCGGGCTCCAGGAGATTGGCTGAGCAGGCTCAGTTTCAATCTCACCTTTCCCCTTGCCTTTGCGGTTCTTATTTTTTCTGCCCTTTCCTTTGCCTTTTCCCTTCAACTCAAGCTGTGGCTGGCTTGCAGCTCCCTGATCCAATTCCGATTCGAGCTTCTTGAACACTGCGGAAGTAGCCATGGGCAGGACGACATAGTTAATGACACTGTTTGCCTCATTGCCAGGCTTCGAAAAACACTGTGGAATGAGACGCTCCCCTGAACCACTGTGTCGTGTGGGAACCTCAGTCTCAGTCAAGACTGAAGACTCCAGAGAATTGCGGCGGTTTCAAAGGAGGAAGAATGGAATGACCATCATGACCATCAACCATCACCCTCGGCCCTCAAGTTACAAAGTCCTACCATTACAGTAAGCATAAAATAACCAAATCATATTTGATATGACCAGCCCAGAAACACAAAACTTGATAGCCTCAAGCATGGTCCTTCCAATGTACTCCTTCGAATAGAACTTGGTCATTCCGTTGCAAATGGTCACGCACAGCTGGTGAAGCATGAAGATGATGTCCCTGCCAAACTTATGACAGCTTATCCAGCTTTCAGCTTACCGGCTTACCAAACAGGCTACTCTACTCAACTACTCAACACAGCTCAGCACAACCAAAAAACAATAGACAAGACAAACCACACCATTGAATGGACTGAACGACAAACCTGACTTGGCTTTCTGACTTTCTAACTTATACTGTAGTTCCTTTTGCTCTCTCTCTATCTCTCTTTCTCTCTACATCTTCATCATTATCATTATAGATTTACAATATCATTGATCTATCTTTGTTCTCGGTTTGTTCTGTCTCTTTGACTCACTCTCTCTCTCTCTCTCCTGCCCTCTTTGTCCGTCATTTGTCCGCGAGTCCGCAACTCCCCAACACTGTGGCCTGTTCGAGAGCTTGAAGTCAGTAAAATTCATGTTCGTGTTGCACCACTGGCGGACATCCTCCTTAATGTTGTAGCGGGTCAGGTACCGGGACAGGACGGACGTGGTTCGGAAAAAGTTGAGGCTATCACCCCACCCAACCGCTTGTTTCTCACGGAAGACGAACTTCTCTAAGAACGAGTCATACTGACTGTTCCTCGTAGTGATGCCAGTTCCTCCAGGACCATTCACCTTCATGTCCCATTCTGCCATGATCTCATCTGAGCGGTCCAGCAAAGTAGTCCAAGTCTCGCCCGCACCGTCATGGTATGTATTGTGAAGCTGGCAAAGAATTGATCGAACTTCAAGGGGCGTTTTTGAACTCAACAATCGCACATTCTCCAAACCAGTCTGCAAAGCCTTCTCAACATATGGGTTACCCTTGCCTTCGGCACGGCTGATTGCTCGAAACATGGCCTCTGACCTGTGGTTGAAAGTGATGGCAAGAGCGGGCAAGAAGTTTTGGCTCGTGGCCGCGACCATCCATGCACGTCCTCGCAACACTTGCACTGTCACTGTAAGAGGAAGACTGGTAATCACCTTGCATAACTGCATATTGATCTAATCATGTGCTGCCTTTTGTTACTTTTGTTCTTGCCTTCTGCTGATTGTGTGTCTCGGGCGGGAATGTTTTTGGCTTTCGGTTTTGTTTTGAGCTTAGTGTTGTTCGCCGGGCCCTTTTTGCTTCACAAAATCCAGTCATTAAACAATGTTAAACTTTAAGTGTCAACTCTGACTTCAACAAGCCAAACTATTGGAATTTGCTCAACCTGTCCTGCACAGTCCACATTGAGGCCGGAGGTCATAATCCGGTCACAGTAGGCTTCCACCAAAGATTCCATCAAAGGCCTGTTCGTGGGGTCCGGCTTGATATTTCTCTCTCCTTGCTCAGACACCCAGGGAATAGATATTGTTCCCAAGCCAAAGTGCTTGAATACGGCATCGACCAAAAGCTGACCCTTCAAAGAACGGATCTCTGCCAGCGCAGCCTCAGTCTGGTCGTCGGGGTCCACTGTTTTCCTAAGTTTTGCAGAAGATGCGGCCGCTGCCTGATCAACTTCATCACTTGGCCTTTTCATGACTGAATGACTCAACCCGTAGGCTGTGTCTGGCAAGGCAAGTTGTGGGCAAGGGCCAGACACAAACACAGGCCGAGAGGAGTGTGTTGGATAGGATACCCAAGAGAGAGAGAGATTGCGATATCCTAATTCTGAATCTGAAATTGCACTGCAGACTGTAAGACAATCTATTCCAAGTAATTCCCAATTCATTGGAGCAATCAACCAATCATTGCACCTGAAAGAATGTGCCTGATGTGATGTGCATTTATTGCATGGACGCATGGACTCTCTTGAGCGATGCTGGCGACGTGCAAACACTTCACACAGTATAGCAAACCGTTTGACTTTATCTACAGAAAAAAAGTATAAATAAAGAAGTTTGTCGTTTGTCGTCTCATCTCATCTGATCTCACTCGATCTCTCTCTCTCTCTCTCTCTGTTTTTGTTTGATGATGATTCATGAGTCTCTGGCTGTTTTGCTGTTCCTATATACGCGACAAACAGAAGTCTGAGTGTTGTAAACAGTCAGAGGAAGAGGACTGTTTATGGTTTTCAGCCTTCAGCAAGATGTGGTTCCAACTGGGTTCCCGCACGCGTCGCACAAGCCCCGAAGCCAAACCCAAAGCAGGTAAGGAGGCCTGCCAAATGAGTCAAAAGCGGATGGTACGGTAGTCCCGTTTGATTAATGTAATATATAATATATATGTACATATATGTCAATTGAAACTTTGAAAGGGTTGATACCTTTGATTGGCTGCGGCTAATGGCCCTGCTAGTACACTATGTTCAAATAAGCAGCAGGCAGGCGTGTGACATGTGAAATTTGAAACTTGAGACACCAATGATTAGCGTAACCTGCTCAGTTACTCAGATGACTCACAGGATCAGTTTGTTTTCCCCATCACCCTGGTCAGCAAAGCGTAGCGCTGTTCATCCCCATCTACTTTTTTCTACTTTTCTTCTCCTCAGGCTGCGTACTCATATTTGCATTCGCGAGTTCAACTTGCGGTGCAGCGGAATCCCCCACGCTGCGATGCAATGAATGACTGCGAACAAAAGTCCCACATAGATTCCCGCGCACAAAGAGAGCTGCTACTAAGGTGAGATGAAATGGAACTGACTGGTCATTGGTCAAATTTGTTGGTCACTATTTCTACAGTACTTGTTTATGACTACAGTGTAAGTGAAACCAAGCCTAGACAAAGGATTGCCAGCCACACATTCTTTTTGAAACTTTTTGTTTGACACCCTTCACGAAGGAGCCAAATGACCAGCTGAAGATGCGTTAGACGCTCGCACACTGTACTCAGGCATCAGGCAATTGAGGCAACTGCCCGTTGGCAACTGTCAGGCATCTCATGCATTCACACCATGGATTTGTCAATGGCAAACTGCAGGGTGGTCGAGTGTAAACACTGGTCCCTTGGGTAAGGGCAAGGGCCTTGCTGGTGACTTTCCTCGAACCCTTGTCGTAGGCCGCCTAGGATCATCTTCGCTATCCTCGCTCCGCAAAGTACTCCGCATAGAATGCAAGACTGATACAATTGCGCGTGGCGTTTCCACCTTGGTATGTTTTGCAGGAGTTCATGTAATGTGTGTTTGTTTGTCATTAAAAGGTCACGGATGAAGCGAAAGTCTAAAGTTATGAATTTGGCTGGATTCGGTTCTGACATTGAGTGGAATGAGTCCTGAGTCCTGAGCAACTTGAGCAACACATTCACATAATCAAATCAACTGAGCACAGGACTTTCACATGTGTCAGAACATAAAGAAATTGAACTGCGATGGCGAACAAGTTCATTGAATTGCCGGCTTGCCCACGAAGTGCCCTTGCGGTCCTACAAGCTTGCCCTGTAGGTGGTTGTGCCATGACATTGAATGGACACACATACAAGTCCTTGTGGATATCCCAATGAATGGGCCATGCTTGAGCCAACAATGCCTCTGTTCCAGTCAGCCATCGTCCGTGTCCACCTTGTCCTTGCAGGGTTGAGCAGTTTGAGCCCGGTATTTACTTCAATTTAAGCACTACAATTTACATTTTCCTGTGCAGCACAGTGACATACATAAAGAAAACAATATGTTGTCATGTTTATTTCGCAAAGCTGTCCTTGACTACCAGCAATCTCGTCGCTCCAAACGAAGCCCAAGTTTCGAATCAACGTATGCATGAATTGTTCTGTTGACTTCATTGCAAAGCCTGTGGCCCCATTTTGAGCCAGGGAGTAACAACATGAAGGCCAGTTGTCACGGTAGGCATTCAAGGACCTGCATTCCCAGTCGGTCAAAGCCCTCTCATAGCAATTTTGACTCGTATTTGCTGTGGCGTTCTCCTCTTCCTGTTCATGTGCATGTGCTGCATGGCGAAGAACAACCCCAGGTCGTGATTGCGCCCAAGTGAGGTCATCTTCTAGCTCAGCCTCCAAGGGACATGAGTCTGAGCTGTTCATGTTCATGTTATGATATGTCGTTGATGTCACTGTCATTGAGTATTAACTTTGGGACTTTGGGCTGATACACACACGCCTTCGCAATGGTGTTTGCGCTCAGATGCTGGCAATAGTACTCCCTGTAGGTCATGTTGCAAATACGAGTGAATCGCAGGTTGAACTTGTTAAAGGGCCTGTCCATCATCAACGTCTTGGCTTTGTGACGGAGCCAAGTCAACTTTCGCTCTCGTCGTACTGCCCCACCGTACGACAAAGCCTCTACATCACCAGCGGTGGCATTGTCGATGAAATAGATGTGGCCGAGGAACCTTTCCAACAACTGCAGCGGGAAGCGTGTCGAATTTTCATGGAGCGTCAATGGCTCCTGCAAAATGATCCTGTGCCCAACCCATGCCAGAAATGGTAGGATGGTGCTGTCACGGACACCAAGCTGTTTTCCAATAGCAGCGTAGGCTGTGCACGATGTACCTCCAACTTGAAGATGAGCCATGGTCCTTAGTGCTGCTGACTAACTGGGTGACTTTTGGTCGCTTTGATGTTTGATGTTTGGTTTGGGACAAAACATGTTGGTCTGGTCACGTCTGATTTGGTTTTGGTCCCTTCTAGTGTGCTTCAACGTTATTCAAATATACATTGCCATTGTTGCTATTACTGAGATTACTGAGCCCAGAGGAGAAAAAGGAACATCATGCATCGTGCATCGCTAAGTGGCACATGGCACTGCTTCTGATGCGCGTAGCAATAAGACTTCGTTTTCACAGCCTCACCGCTCGCGACCATCTTGGCGAGGACTTCCAAGGCAAGTTCGGGTTGCTGCTTCAGCTGAGTTACTATCTCGTTCAGCTCTTTGACATAGAATGAGTTCAAGTCGCCAAAGATGCAACTTTTCTGGACGTTGGTGTCAATAGCCGCATAGCGCATGAGTTCTTCCCGACAAGTCTCATCAAACTCAATCTGAAAAAGGACTCTTGGTCGACTGATAGAACGGCCTGTCACTTTCTGCACATAGTGATGCAAGGTGTTCAAAGTGGCTTCAGGCCCTCCAATGCCGCTGTAGGAAGTTGAGAGGGTGAGTTGCTGCAAACGGTCCACCAGCAAATCCTGGCTGATAAAGTCTGCATCCTCGTCCAAGCCAAGCGATTTCATATTCTCTGTCATCCAAGCATCCCCATGTTCTTTCTTTTTTGACTCGACATCAGAGAGCATGATCTCTTCCACAGCAGCTTGGAAGAAGCTGAAGCTCTCCACCAAATTGTTGACTGTGCGCTTGTGTCGGGACAATCCGTACTCAGAGTACTCAGCCTCAGCCAAATCAGGCGTGCCCGGCGTAGCCATACTGGGTGTGGTCAGCTCCACTGTCTGTGGCGCAGCAAGAGTATCTAAGGTTGGCTGATCATAGACAGTGGGGGCGGCCTCAGCTTCCACTGGCTCTGATCGTGAATCAGCATGATCAGCACCATTTCCAGCGCCATCAATGCCATCAGGATCAGGATGAGCAGGATCAGGATCGGTGCTTTTGCGCTGGAAGTCTGTGTTGGCACTAGCGCTGGGAGGAACCTGTCGAACCTGCTCAGAGGCAGCAGCAGGTGGTTGCAGATCCTCCTCCTGCAGAAATGGTGAATGTTGTATTTGGATTTCTGAATTCTGAATTCTGAACGATATCCAATAGATTATTTAGCTTTATATTCGTTTCCAAATCTCGTCAACATTAGTGAACTAGGTTCCCTAATTGGGTTGTTTTGAAGTGTCCTGCATTTCCATGTTGAACAACTTGATGTCAATCGCAGCCGCAACATCAACGCCGTTGCAACCACAAGCAATCTCTGGGCCATACTCCTCTACCATCAGATCCTCCAACGCTGACACGAATCCGAACATACCACCTGCTTCGGCCACATCCTCATCCTCGCCAACTTCATCACTGTTGTGTTTTCTTTTCCGTGATTTTGACAACGGTTGAGGAACAGTGATCGTTGGCTTGCGATCTGTCTTCAGAACATACTTCAATGTGTAATTCTCCAGTTCTGCTTGTGGAGAAGCGGACGGTTGCTTCGTTTCTTTGGCTGCTTTCTTCCCCGCAGTATCTGCTTTCTCCATGTCCTCCATTGGTACATCGCCAGTTGTGCCCAAAGTGATAGCGGTAGTAGTGGAAGTCTGTGCATGGTCAGGACAGTCAGGCTGTATCTGTGGCAGCGCGGATGCCGGCCGACGCTGCACTCCTTTTCGCTTGGGACTGCCCACCATGTTCTCCTTGTCACCCCTTGTGTGTTGCCAAACGGAGTCGATGTTGGTGAAGGTGTCTGTCATCTCAAAACAAACATAAATCTCCTGCACCATGACTAGTGCATGGACGTGCAAACAAATGGTTAATTACATGTGGTAATGAAACCTCGCCGTAGAATCATAGCTTGAACACACTTGAACACATTTGTGTTGCAAACTTTCAGGACCCTTTCCTCCCCTCGTCGTGGCGCAATATAGAGCGGCTCCGCAAACTTTTCCACAACAATGAGTTCCCAAAGCGCACAACCTCCCTTATCATTCTTCCAATTTGCACGGACCGCCTCATACTCTTTCTTGGTGCAGCGATGCTTGTTGGAGTGGGATGAGAACTCTTCATGAGAAACAAAAGTGTTTCCACGAAACTCGGCTTTGGCATGGATCTTGAACACACCTGATCCAAATGAATCCTTGACACCGCTTTCGATCAAGTAGATGGACCCACCATTCTGCACGACACGAAGGTTGAAATTCCTGACCTCATGTGTCTTTCTGCTCAACACCGGTTCGAAGAAACGATGAATGTGTGGCGACCCAATCAGCAATCCTCTCAAAGAGCCTTTGGATCGTGCCTTTGGAGAAGCACTTGCCATGGGTGATCGACGGTGATTGAATTCGTGAATCGAATTCGTGAATGTCAAAAAGAAAGTCAACGTAACGTAATGAAATCTCTGAGAAGACGTGATTGTGGAGTCCATGTGTTTTCCAGAAATAGCGCACACTTACATTTAGGTGAAAGCTATGAGCTCTCTTTGTATCTGAAAAAAAAGAGGCGGACGATCAAATGCACAATACAAAGACATCAATGTGTTTGAGAAATGTGTACAAACAATAACAAAACATACAGTGTTTATGGCAAAAGCACAACATCGGAATTGTAAGGCTAAATGCTCCTAACTACCTCCTATCGGGGGATTGTATGCCACCAGGCCCCTCCTGACCAATTTTCTGTGCCAGGAGGCTGGTTCCTGGCAGCCAGGAGGCCCCTCTCAATGCCTACTGGCTGCCAGCACCCACAAATTGTTCCCTTCCGGCAGTCCCCACCTGCCTTCCTGGCATACATTCCCTGCCAGGAGGCTGCCTCCTGGCGCACATTTCCAGTGGGGAGGGCCCTCCTCCCATATATCTCCAGCGGGAGGGTCCTCCTTGCACATATTATGGTGTACGATTCCTCACTAATCAAAGGACTAAAATAACATATTCTTCCATAATGTATAGTATATTTTTTTGATTTATAAAGACACTTGATTCGAGGCTTGCAGCTAGTGGTTTGTCTTTTTAATAAATAGTTGTCCGTCGAAACATAGTTAGAATCCTTAAATATATTAAGTTAACCGACGTTTTGCACATCCAATCTACTCTGTATCTTTACCCTGGACTGTCTATGTAACCCCAGATCAACACTTCCTGTACACATCTTGAACTGCCAAATCGTACCTGCACTGTACATGCGGAAGAGTCGTGATGTCGTAGCCACAGCCTGCACAAGCAACAACAACAACACCAGTTGCATTCAATCATACTTGCCACTATACTTGCCTACTGCACAAAAATGTTGCATGTTTGGCTTGCAGTAAAGCAGTAAGGCATGATCCCCACTATAGATCTCACCCTCCATACTCAACCTCCTCCAGGCCTCTGGTCATCTCCATAAGTCCACAGCTTGCAGCTTGCGATTGTCAATCACCATCAATCACCTGGTTCCACGCCGGCATGCAGCTCATGTTGCGGACCAACTCTGACTCTGACAGTGACAATCTGGCAGGTCTCAAACGGTCTCAAAGGAGTAACAGAGTAACAAAGTAACACAAAAAATAAAAGCATTGCCCGTTGGCTGCCTTTGTCCGTGCAAAATACGCAACTACGTTGCTACATCCCCCACACACACATCATCTCAAACCACAAAGTGCCATTCCTTTTGTTTGAGTACTATAGTACTAGCCTGATTTGTACTCTTCAGCCCCAAACGCAGTCATCACCAGCCGCTAGCCAGCGCTAGCCTGTGAGCGGAACTGAGGACCTGAGCACAGCCACATTCACAGTTGAAATGGAAATTGAACAGCTGAGTTATTCTTAAGCTGTGCTTATATGGTTATATGTACGCTGACTCGTAGAGTAGAATACATACTCATAGGTCCTATTGTAGTGCTTTTGGTTGCTTGGTTTTGAAGCACATCAATATTGGCTGAAGTCCCTCTGCCTGGACCCTGGCAACCCTGGTTTTCCCATAGCCCATAGGATGGAAGCATAGATTGATGGGTCCCTGTCAACAGCACCCTCAAAGTTCTCAGTCGGTCTTCATTTGGCAATGTACCAAATTAGCAATGGAACCATAAACTGGTCTTGATTCCGTTCGACGGAACTTTGTTGATTGTGACCGATTCAAAGACAAATCGGCAAGGCAGTCATGATAACGCCACAACATTAAGTTCTGCTTGTTAAACCCAGTAAAACAATAACACAACCTTCTTCATTGTTCTGGCACTCTGGCAACAATACGTGGGTGAGACACTGTCATGGACATAGCCGCCATGACCATGTTTCTGTTGGCAAACATATTTACACTTTGGCTTTGCTGCGCTGTGGACTGGCGCCACTGCACTCTGCTCCCTCACAGTGGCAACCGCAGTGGCAACAGTGGCTGTGATTGCCCCCAAACGGTGCCCCGCCCGTGCTCCTACGTCATACACTTCAAAAAGACATGCTTCAGTGATTCATTGACATAAGACATAACTGGATAAGAGAGAGGGGGAGAAGGGAGGTGACAGCGAGAGTGAGCTGGCCGAGCACAATAGGCGTGTGACACGTAACTGTACTAACCCATCTATGTATGTATGTATGTATGTATGTATGTAATTATGTTAATTATGTTTGTGCATGTGTATGTGTATGTGTATGTATGCTTGCTTGTTTGTTTGTTTCTTTCTTTCTTTCTTTTGTTTGTTTGTTTGATTATATAATTGTTTGTTTGTCTGTTTGTGGGTCGGTCGGTCGGTAGGTATGTATGTATGTATGTGTGTATGTAGGTAGGTAGGTAGGTAGGTAGGTAGGGTAGGTAGGTAGGTAGGTAGGTATGTAGTCTATGAATGTATGTATGTATGTATGTGCAGAAAACTTCCCCTGTCCCTGTCCATACCACTGGCCCTACCACCAATGAATCAAGTGCGGCCTTTGTGCACACTCCTGACTCGAAGACTTTGTCTCTTGAAAACACAAAGACTTCCAATTCCAGTGGTTCTAGGATTCTAGGGAGTGTAGCGACGACTAATTACTGAACCGCTTAACCTATTCAGAAACACTGTGCAACTTCTTTCTAGACCAGGCGAAGGAAGCTGCTGTGATTTCAGCTCACGTATGGCGTCAAAGTTTCCCACGTCAAAGTTTAGTAGAATTGAAATTCACTAAAGCATGAAAGTTTGGTGTTGTCCTTCAACTAAGCCAAAGCCCCGTATGTTTGTCCAGAGACCGTCCTGTGTTTGCACCTATTTCCCACCAATTAAATGCATACAAGATGTTCAGTTCTTCAACGACCAAAGTGATTGGATGGCTTTAAGTGACGACGAAACGAAATCAAACGATTTTATCTCTGCATATCTCTGCGCGGCAGCTGTCATGAGTTACGGGTTTCATTTGTCCCCAATTCCATTTGCAAATCAAGCATTTGCCTGTTGCTGTAGCTGACAGATCAAAAGGTTGATTTGCTGCAGAAAGTAGTATTGAAGCTGGAAGATCATCACCAGAAGTGCGCAACAATTTGGACAGCACAGGCTACTTGGATGCCCCCGCGCAAACTCATCAAAACCATCCCCGAAGCTAAAGCCTGGCGGGACCATTGTTGGGGCCGCCGCCTCTTTGACAGTAGTGTCAGCATCCTGAGC